CAATACATGTTGTGCTAAAAGGGGACCCAAGCATAAGGGACGTGCTCCAATGAAAGTATAAGTTGGTACACCAATGGAAAAAGTGGCCATTGACATTGCTGGTCTGTTGCCCCGAACTCGTGCTGGAAACAGGTACATTTGTGTGGTGATGGATTATTTCTCCAAGTGGCCTGAGGCATATGCAATACCAAATCAGGAAGCTATAACTGTAGCTTCGGCTATTACTGATTTCTTCTTCAGATTTGGTATGCCATACGAACTGCATTCTGATCAAGGCCGTAACTTTGAATTAGCTGTGTTCCAAGAATGCTGCAAGTTGTTTGGTATACGAAAGACCAGGACAACGCCACTTCACCCACAGTCTGATGGGATGGTAGAAAAGTACAATTGGACACTGGGAGAGGAATTGTCAAAGTTTTGTAATAGCCACCAATATGACTGGGATGTCTTATTCCCTCCACTGTTTATGGTCTACAGAACAGCAGAGCATGAAGCCACTGGATACACAGTGGACCTGATAACAGGTGGCCAAAGTAATGAGAGCTGATTTTCCAGATTTGTGCTTTAAAAAAGTTGAAATATTAAATTATGGTTTTAAATGGGTATATTTTTAAACTCATATTGCACTTAAAGGGTTTATGTGAAGTGTATTTTATAGTTTATTTATATACTGTAAAAGATATTTATTGCTTTAAATGTACGTTATTTCATGTTCATGTCACACATAATCAAATAAATGTCCTCCTTCTGTTACTGTTTTCTTATGTGCATATTTCATTTTATAATTTAATCAGGAACATAAGACTAAATGTATATAAAAGTAAACTAATTTTTAAAAAAGCAAATCCTTCATACCACATGTCAGTAGTACTTTCTCGTGTTTTTCTTCTCTCATACATAGATACTTTCATTTATTCCTTGATTTGCCCAAGATAAGTCAATGTTTCCAAAAATATCACAAGATTTGTGTTTGTTCTTAAGCACAAAGCTGCACGATGGGCTGTCTGTGCTCTGCCCACCACGGATATCAAAACCCGGTTTCTAGCGTTGTAATTCTGCAGACATACCGCTGGGCCACTGGGGGCTCGGGCAAACAAGATTTGTGTTTGTTCTTAAGCACAAAGCTGCACGATGGGCTGTCTGTGCTCTGCCCACCACGGATATCAAAACCCGGTTTCTAGCGTTGTAATTCTGCAGACATACCGCTGGGCTCGGGCAAACAATTTCTCGCTTTACTTGCCCAATATCACCATGTTATAATGTATTAAAATAAGCGAGAAAACAAAACCTGACAGGGAAGGGCTACTAACTTGTTCCTTCTGATTAATGTCGATCCTATGAATGTTTACGATACATAATATATACGTGCATAGTAGGATATGTAAACACGGTGGAAGAGTAGTTGCTAGGTTATAAATATGTATTGCTGGACTTTAATATAGCCCTGTTGTTCGTCACATATGTGTCGCCATCTGTGCCTGATGTTAAGAAAACATGTAGGTTAAAAATTTCGATTGAAATAAAAAAGTATGAAGCCTTATAACCCAAGCGATATTGAAAGGTGGACTTTTCTTTACCGGAGGTAAACTGTCCCTATCTGTAGGTTTACACATCCAACACTACTAATAAACAGAAATAAACAATTTAATATTAGCACTTTTTGAGTGGACTAAAGCAGTAAATATATGCTATCGTCCATATACATTTTTGGTTGAAATTATAATTTATTCAAGGTATAATCAAGGAAGTTTAATCAGAATTATGTAAGGTTTCTTTCTCTATGTTATATTGGGGTCAAGCACGAACCAGTAGTTGACTTGCTGGTCTGTATATCGCATCCTATCAAATACGGTTCAGTGGTTAACGTGTCGACCTGTGTATCACATCTTATCAAACACGGTCCAGTAATTAACATGTCGGACTGTGTATCACATTCTGTCAAACACGGACCAATAATGAACATGTCGGACTATTGATCACATCTTATCAAACACGGTCCAGTAATTAACATGTCGGACTGTGTATCACATCCTGTCAAACACTGACCAATAATTAACATGTCGGACTGTTGATCACATCTTATCAAACACGGTCCAGTAATTAACATGTCGGACTGTGTATCACATCCTGTCAAACACGGACCAATAATGAACATGTCGGACTGTTGATCACATCTTATCAAACACGGTCCAGTAATTAACATGTCGGCTGTTAGTTTAGTAAATTATTGGTTGATTTGTGAAGATTGAAGTAGAATAATGGGAGAACTGTATCAAACTAGGTAAGTAAAATAAAAGTTATTTCAATAAAAGCAAATGGAAGGAAACTCTACTTAAAAATGAACTAAATAAAACAAATCACGCATGACCAGCAGATACTGGAAGAAACTGAGGAAATTCACCTTCCTCCTGTAGCTGACCAATCAGAAAGCTAGATCTCAAAAGTCGGAAAGTTTCCCTGCTTCACGTGACAGTCGTAAAGTGGTATTCAAACAACTATCACGAGTAATAACAGATATAGTTACTATGATCAGACTGTGTTACAGAAAGTAACCACCAGGGCCGGGTTTAGTATATTCCATGTTAGAAACTTGGTAAAAATGAAATATGTATTTTAAGAATACGTTATATGCATTTCATGTGTAGATATCTACATGTAACGCTCGTAAATAATGATGTTGACTACTTATAAATACTTGATCAATATAAACCAATCTAATTTGACTCTACTGTTGGGTTGATAACTAGATAGTTAAGATTATAACTTTGACTTAAGAAAATTCGATTCAGCATGCTTTATACTATAAGATTGATGGTGTTTTATCCATTTTTCACTAAATCAATATTTCATAGGGTTACGTGAGAATATCCATGGCACGTTTTAGTGAGAATACAAGTGCCGTTCAGATCAAGCAAAAGTACGGTGAGTGTAGTAAACATTTTTATATAAGTGAATTTTCTAATAATAATACTACATGTTCGATTAGGACATTACTGTTATTAAAAGCTTATATTTTGTGTGCTAATATTAAAAATACCGCATATTAAAAGTATTATGTATAATATATCGACTCGTTTAACCATGATTCCTTACACACTTTTAATTTACATCCCAGATTTTAGTGAATTAAAAACAGCAACTCATTCTCGACAACCTACTAGTGCTGGTGAAGTTCCAATCAAGGCAAACAAAAGCTCATCGAGCTGCTTTTCATCACCAACCCTATCTAAACGAAGGCCACGCCCTAGACAACAAAATCCATTATTATGGTAAATTTCTGTTTTTATTTTTTCTTCTCAAGAACTTGTTAAACATATTTTCAAAAGTCTTCATTTACATTTTATACTTGTTTACAAAGTCAAACTGAACTAAGACATTTGATTTTTCATGATAAGACACAGTAATACATAATATGAAGTATTTATGATACATTTCTGGATGCTTAAAGCTTGTTCTCATCTATAATATTTCTTAAGGATTGCGTTAATAGAACCGAGTAATTTCTAGTATATACATTTTTGATAGTTTTAAAATACTTATTTATTGCCACTACACAAATATTTTATTTTCGGGTTAAATTTCAATGGAAAAGTGTCACCATCAATTCGCATTTTAGGATATATTAGATTTAATAAAGAAATCAATTTATTGTTCTTAACTTTGTTTATTGCAAACTGGAGTTTATTATGAGACATTTCTATAAAAGTAAATTAAATATAAACGTGCCGACCAATACATTATCGAATATCAGAACATGTGCGTGACATTCAAAACCTCAATACTAATAATGCTATTGCAAAACATTATGGAAAAAGAACATGGCCTACCACAAACAGATAACATATTATCGGATATCAAGATCTTATCTAAATGTCATAATTCTCCTGAAAGAAAAATTAAAGAATCCATTTTAATCAAGAAAAAGAAATACAAATACAAAGGTTGACCATTAGTGTAGAGACGTTAATGGCATTTTAAAGATTTTGATATGTTGAGCTTTGATGTAGTCTCTTTACACACTTATAAGGGTTGAAATATATGTTCAGACATTGTTTTCTGAATGTATTAATATAACAAGATGGAAAATTACTTACCAATACAAATATGAAGAAAAGTTTTAGATACATAACGTATTATATTCTAAATCCAATGATGTCAATAGTTTACTTATTGGTTTACACATGTTATTTATGTAGCATTGTTGGTTTGGTTTGTCGTAACAATATAAATTCAAGAATGTTTGTTATTTTAATATAATATAAACTTTCTAAACACGTATATCAATGTTCGATTTACGTATGACAGTGTTCCAGTTTAGATTTAACTGGATTAGTGAACGGCACCAGGTATTAGGTCTTTGTGGACCTGGGAGGATCAAGTACGCTTTTGACCTCTTCATCCCTCCTGAACTAATTATTAATAATGGAATAGTGAACTTGTAGGAAAGTTTTTTTGTTGTATTTCGCGAAAAACTACACGAGGGCTATCTGCGCTAGCCGTCCTTGATTTAGCAGTGAAAGACTAGAGGGAAGGCAGCTAGTCATCACCACCCACCGCCAACTCTTGGGCTACTCTTTTACCAACGAAAAGTGGGATTGATCGTCACATTATAACGCCCCAGTGCTGAAAGGGGCGAGCATGTTTGGTGGGACGGGGAGTCCAACCCGAGACCTTCAGATTGTGAGTCGAGTGTCCTATCAACATGGCCATGCCGGGCCGAACTTGTAGTACATCGATAGCTCCTGACGAAGCTGTAATAGTGAAATATTGAGCTAATAAAGTTACATTCTGGCGATATAGGTCATGATTTTATTTACGTTTATTGAAATCAATTTATTGGTATTTATCTACCTATTTCAGTTCTGATGATAATTTTATTTTAAACTCTATTGCATTTATAATTTATAATCATATAATAGCTTTGAATTTTTTTGTTGTTAAGCGCAAACTTTACAATGGGCTATCTGTGCTCACCACGGGTATCCAAATTCGGTTTTTAGCGTCATAAGCCCAGATACTTATCACTGAGCAAATAAGAATCCATGAGTGAATGTAAAGAAGGACATAATAATATATTAACCACACTATATCTGCTATATCATCTGCTGACGAGGCCTTTCGTCCAATACCAGGGCTTATAAGGCCGGCTGGGATACGATAGACACAGTTGTGGTCCAGACGTTACTTATATAGATTACTTGGACCACAACTGTTTGACCGTGGACTAGTTCGATCATCAATAAAATAAGGAACTTGTGACAATGGCCTTATAGTGTTCAACAGATTAATGCATTTAGCTTGCTTGCAACTAATCTGTATTCTATTAGCGAAAGAATAATGCTGCATACCACCTGGCTCCCAGTAGCTCAGCGGTACGCCTACAGCCTTAAAACGCTAAAAACCAGGTTTTGATACTCGCGATGAGCAAAGCCCAGATAACCCATTATGTAGCTTTTCGCCAACATACCACCTGGCTCCCAGTACCTCAGCGGTACGCCTACAGCCTTAAAACGCTAAAAACCAGGTTTTGATACTCGCGATGAGCAAAGCCCAGATAATCCATTATGTAGCTTTTCGCCAACATACCACCTGATTTCGTTTTTATCTCGGCAGACCACGTTGGGGGTATACACACTACGCTACCGCTTCCTTTCTGCAATTATACAGCCTTTCCACGAACAACCCAACGGTTGTTATTTGTTATTAAGCACAAACCTACACAAAGGGCTATCTGTGCTCTGCCCACCACTGGTATCGAAACCCGATTTCTAGCAGTATACGCTCGCAGACATACCGCTGTGACACTGGGGGAGGGAGGGGGGCTAACCCAACGAACCACAAATTGAGGACCTCTGTTCTATGGGATTAAATCAGGAAATGTTTGACCGATCTATTTTCACCGTAGCTTTACGTTCAGAATAGGCAACAGTCGTATGTATATGGGAGGGAGGGGGGCTAACCCAACGAGAAACCTCAAACTACCAGTGGTTCGGAACCACAGATTGAGGACCTCTGTTGTATGGGATTAAATCAGGAAATATTTGACCGATCTATTTTCACCGTAGCTTTACGTGCAGAACAGGCAACAGTCGTATGTATATGATGAGGACGAGCTTTCAAAATGATTTTAAGTCTCCTTCTTATGGCACGTAACATTCAAAACACCATTCTCAATGGTACATGGATCACTAAATGGCTCCCCACGAGACTAAAGAACCATCTATTACGTAACACTTGATAAACTGAGTTCTGAATTTCGGGGTGATAAACTCTCTATTATTTTCAGTACCAATCAAACAGTAGTCAGTAATTTTCATAGATCACACACGGAGTCCAGTTTGTTATAAAAACGAAGTATTGAAGAAAGAGAGACAGCCGTAATATTTAAAACGAAACTGATGACTTAATGATAAATTAAGAATAGATTCTTCTTTTTTTTTTTTTGTACTGAAATGATTTTTATACAAAAACTTACGTCTACTTAATTACTACAAATAGTAGTATGGAATATGAGTTTAATATAATATAAAAATGTAAAAATGTTTACTAACGAACAGCATAGAAAATTAGTAAGTTAATAGAAATATAAAACTGACTACTTTCCCGCTAGGCCAGGTGGTTAGGGCGTTCGTCTCGCAATCGGAGGGCCGTGGGTTCGAATCCTCCTAACACCAAACATACTCGTGGGGACGCTATAATGTGACGGTCAATACCACTATTCGTTGGTAAAAGAGTTGGCGGTGGGTGGCTGTCTTCTCTCTGGTCTTACACTGCTAAATTAGGAACGGCTAGCCCTCGTGTAGCTTTTTTTGCGAAATTCAAAACAAACCAAATCTTTCCTGCTATGTGGGTAGCAGAAACATTAGAAAACAAATATATGTATTAGCCTAAGTGACCTTGTTGAAATACAGTCAGTTTCCTTAATTCTGATCCTCCGGTGGGACAGCGGTAAGTCCATGGACTTACAACGCTCAAATCCGGAATTCGATTCCCCGCGGTGGACACAACAATAGCCCAATGTGGCTATGCTATAATACAAACGAACATTCATTACTTTTGTAAAATATGTAATGTTAATTTTTAGATTAATGAAAACTGGATAAAATATTTGTTTATTCAATGTTATTTCTTATTGTGATAATCTAATTTTGTGGTATCACCAATATTTTCAGTAACCAACTGGTAGGTACAAATAGAGGTTCATTCACTGTCAGTAGTGGCCGAACGCCCGGGTCATGTCATCGTCTACGTGGTCGAACTCCACTTTCCAGAACCACAACATCCACTTGTACAGACCATATTCATCGAACTCCAAGAGTATCTACCAGTACAACCACCCTTTACGCCCCTGAGAAATCTATTATTGTAGGTTAGTTGTAAAATGAATTTCGCTTAATTTGTTTCACCTTAATATGTTATTTCAACTAAAAAATATGGAATAAAATTACATATTTACGAACATGCGATAAAGGTTTTGTGTGTGTGTGTGTGTGAGCTAAAATGTATTCGCGATAGTTATGTATTATTATTCTTTGTATGTATAACAATATTAATTAAGTATGGAATATATTTTCCATACATACATACTGTGTGAGGATATAAAGTATTATGTTGTATGTATGTGGGTTCTGAGGAAAAACTAGCAGTTTCTAGAGAAGGTACAGGCTCCATAAGGCATGTAGAACTGTGGCTTATTTAAACATGAACGACATGTAATGTGTACGTGGATTATTTGTTGTTAAACGCAAAATAACACAATGGGCTATCTGTGCTCTGCCCACCGTGGATATTTCCGGTTTTTAGAGTTATAAGCCCTCAGGTTATAGCTGAGCCGTGTTCTGCATTGTCGGTAATGGTACTAGAAAGTATTTTACAGTTTCTGTTGTTGTTTGATATTAAGCACAAAGATACACAATGGGCTATCTGTGCTCTGCCCACCACGGATATTTCGGTTTTTAGAGTTATAAGCCCTCAGGTTATAGCTGAGCCGTGTTCTACATTGTCGGTAATGGTACTAGAAAGTATTTTACAGTTTCTGTTGTTGTTTGATATTAAGCACAAAGATACACAAAAGCTATCTGTGCTCTGCCCACCACGGGTATCGAAACCCGGTTTCTAGTGGTATAAGTCCGCAGATATAACACTGTGTCACTAGGGGGCTTTACAGTTTCTAATTATATATATATATATATATAAGTGATTTTATATTTATCTTCATTTAATGTGTTTTATAAACATTGATGTTTCAGTATTAACTTATGAGAGGCCGCCCCACCAGTGGCACAGCGGCATGTCTGCGGACTTCCAACGCTAGAATCCGGGTTTCGAGACCTGTGGTGGGCAGAGCACAGATAGCCCATTGTGTAGCTTTGTTCTTAATTACAAACAAACAATATGTGGTTAGGACGCTTGACTTGCAATCTTAAGGTTGCGGGTTCGAATCCTCGTCCCACCAAATATGCTCGCCCTATGACGGTCAATCCCACTATTCGTTAGTAAAAGAGTTGGTGGTGGGTGGTGATGACTAGCTGCCTTCCCTCTAGTATTTCATTGCTAAATTAGGGACTGTTAGCGAAGATAGCCCTCGTGTAGCTTTGCGCGAAATTCAAAACAAACCAACTTATGACTATGCAAAAACAAAATAAATAAATGACACTCACTATCCTATATTTTATATCAAGCACGTGAAGACAAACACGCAAAAATTGTGACATTATAAAAAAAAAAGTGTTCCCTACATGTTGTAACAAAAATCATCTTTTTTTCTAGTGTAACGAAACTTATTTGTACAAAGTTTATATTTTTATATTTCACCGTATGAAACAATTTTGAAAAATACTTTTACGAAGACGATCTAAATATATAATTATATTGGGGGTTTTCTGGAGGAAATAACTTTGCCATTAGACAGCCGATGAGAACGCACTGGTAATAATACAAAGTAAGATAACATTTTTAATACATAAAAAATCATAGACATGCAATTTTGGTTTTTGGAATAAGTAACTTTGCTATGTTAATTACTATTCTTTAATACCATTTTTCCCCCTGCCCCCCAGTAGCACAGCGGTATGTCTGTGCGCTAGAATCCGGGTTTCGATACCCGTGGTGGGCAGAGCACAGATAGCCCATTGTGTAGCTTTGTGCTTAATTTCAAACAAACAAATTTTCCCCCTACTGGATTTGTTTTGAAGAAATGTTTTTAAAGCTCTGAATTATAAATACGTTCCGTGATAATCATTTTATAAAAACGAATTGGTGCGCAAAATGGAACACTACAAATGACACTATGCGGTAAACATGTAAAATGTGAACAATTACAATAATCATGTAAAATGTGAACAATCGCAGTAATCATGTAAAATGTGAACAATCGCAGTAGAATGTGAACAATCGCAGTAATCATGTAGAATGTGAACAATCGCAGTAATCATGTAAAATGTGAACAATCGCAGTAATCATGTAAAATGTGAACAATCGCAGTAATCATGTAAAATGTGAACAATTACAGTAACCATGTAAAATGTTAACAGTTACTGTAATCATGTAAAATGTGAACAATTACAGTAATCATGTAAAATGTGAACAATTACAGTAACTGTGTAAAATGTTAACAATCGCAGTAATCATGTAAAATGTGAACAATTACAGTAACCATGTAAAATGTGAACAATTACAGTAACCGTGTAAAATGTTAACAATTACAGTAATCATGTAAAAAGTGAACAATATTTTATGAAGCATATCTAAAAATCATAAACACATAATTTATCTGGGGTCGTAACTTAGTGTGGCTGCGGATCAAGGGGCTCGTTATAAGTATTGCGAAAAGCGGCCATACGCCACCAGTCTCTTGCTCTAGAGACAACCTTAGCCTTTTGTTGTTGTTTTTGGCGAGGATCTGCCAGAGCTTACACTTTGTAGTATTTATGATGCTGTCTTTTTTATTTTTATTTTTTTTTCTTTTGGGGGGGGGGGGTCGGAATTGAACCCTAGATTTTCTTTGTAATAAACATGTAGCACATTTTATTATCAAGTTCAACAATGTATTGCATCGTGAGCATTGTGCCTATTATTATACACCAGCAATTGAAGAAAAAGTTAAAGTCGTTTAAAAGTAAAAAATAATAACTGACTTGAAAAACTTAAGTGATATAAGTACTTAACTTAAATAAATTTGTATTTGCTATAACTCCGAATTTCTCTTGTTACATAAAGTTACTTTCTTTGTTTGCACCATTCCCAGCAGTTAAGCTTATATGAACTAAGTTTTGTGACTGTTAGGCATAAATAAACACATTGTAAGGTTGACATTTGAAATGTACTGCTTCCACACTGTCTCTTTGTTGAGAAATATTTACAATCTTATGATAAAAATGAAAAAAAAAAAGTTTTCTTACTCGTAAACACAAAAAAATGCTTCTTAGTTTAGGGCTGTGGGTGATGATTATTATCTTCCTTCCCTGTAGTCTATCAATTCAAAATTGTGGATGGCTAGTGCAGATAGCCTTGTGTAGTTTTGCACGACATCACTGACTTTATTGTTTCAAAGCAAGATGAGTTTATATGAACTCTAATTTATGCCTGATGACATTTTCGTCCAAGAAATATCTGTAGGGTTGTAACGTGTACATTTTCTAGGCTGGGGGTTTGTAATAAAGTCAACCTGATGTATTTCAGTTTTGAGTATAAGTTTCTTAATCATTTTGTTTTAAGTACTGAAGACAAAAATACAAAACTCTGTTATCTGAGCACTTTCAAAAGTGGACCTTTCTTCATCAAGGACAAATTGATTGCTCTAGATGAAGAAGAGTCCACTTTTTGAAAGCATTTGGGTTACAGGGTTTTGTGTTTTTGTCTTTATGTGGTTTTCGTAACTATTTACAAAACTGCCAATACGCTCTTCTTCTTTCATTAGTATTTTAAACATTGTAAGGTTGTAATGGACTTATCCTGTATAGTCTCTTGAGTGGGAAGTATTCAAGTCTTTGTGCTGAAAAAAAAAAACAACCTTGTCATTCTCGCATAAAGAAGTAGGAGCACAGTCCATTACAAATGTTAACACTAAAATGCACTGTTATTGCTAATTGTGAAGTTTGAGTGTAGTTAATATTGTGGAGTCTTTTACAATACAACATTTTACCTTGAGAGCTAGGATTCTTGTATGGAGCTAGTTTTCAGTATCGTCATTTTTATTTCTGGTCATTTTGTTTGATTTGTAATAAAAGTATTGTTACGTCTCTGTTCGTTTGTTAATTTCCCG